CTGGTAGCTGGTGCGGCAATGCGCGCGCGATGCCTGCGTGCGCAGTATTTGAGAGGCATTGCAGTAGATATTGTTAAGAAAGATGCGCTCTAGATAGGTTCCTCTTACTCTTTGCATTCGCACCTGCGTCTTGGCAATAGCTAGGGGAACGAGGGAGGAAGCAGCTATCTTTCACACAAAGGAGCAATTATACGCTATACCGTAATAGGTGGCGCCATGGTCAAGTCCACCAATCTAGGCCAAAAAGAGGAGCGAAAAGGGGGTCGGATCCAGCGCGATGCCCAATCGAGACGAACAAGGCCTGACCCGCAGCAGTCGCAGGGAGATAGGGTTAGACTTAGCTTTTTTAGTTTCCTTACTATTAATATTACTAAGGCTTAGGCAGAGAGTGTTAAGCCTGTTTGCTATCTAATGTTAGTTATATTTTATTATCTGCTAGCATTAGACTAGTTATATATACTTACTCTTACTTATTATTAACACAGAGCCCTTTGTTAAAGTTTTATAGTAAAGTAAAAAAGTAAGAGAGGCAATTAGTAAACTGTTACGGTCTACGGTTGGACCAGCGTAACCCCACCAGCAGTGCTCCACAATCTAGCCGGTTTGGGGCAGGGCTCGCTTACAGACCAATCGGAGGACGCGGAGGTAGCGCGGCTACCCGAGATCATGGAAGAATGCGTTGTCTAATAAGAGGACAGGCCGCGAATTAAAAGGAGTTTAAGGGAGCTTAAAGGAGCTTATAGAAACCCCTCTTAAAGGGCTCCTACAAACTCCTGCTAACTCCCCTTAGCGTCCTCTACACATGTATATAGTTCCTACATTAAACAACCTTTAGAAAGTGTGTTTAACATTTAGTTTATTCTTTACATAGACTAAGTAGCATTTAGCTTTCTAAAGAGCTGTAATACTATTTATATATCTTACACTATATATACCTCTAACCCTGTCCACAAGGACTGTTTGACCCCAGCCTCCCTACTGCCGCACATAGGGCAAACTACAATCTGGTCACTCTCCCTTCCTCTATTAGCCTAATAGCCTGTACGTAGGACTGTACACCCTACTAGATTAGCCCCTACAACCTGTCCTACTCCCCTGTAGGAACATAATAAGACCTAAGTGCTTCCTAAAGCAAGAATTATAACATTAAACACTACCTCTTTAAAAAGTATAGTAACCTTCTAACACAACCTAGATTTTAACATAGCCTACACTACACTATTAGAATCTACAGAAGTCCCTACCTAAAGTAAAGCTGTTCTAGCAGAATAGATTAACTTTATTTAGGACAACATTAAGAAACTTTAGTAGATTAGTAATAAAGTTAGTAAGCTATTAAAACTTAAGCAAGAAATAACTAACTTCTACTAAAAAACTATAAACTTATAAAACCCCCTACCTCTTATTAACCCCTAGAAGGACACTGCTTAAGCTTGCTAGATACATAAACTATAAGTAAAACTAGTAAAAGTTTAAAACATCTTAATAAATAAAGTAAGTGTTGTAGCTAAAAAAGCTTTAAAGCTAGCCCTTTTAAAGCTTTTTAAAGAATTATTAAAGAACCTTTAACTATTTTTTACTAGATGCTACCTTTATATGCAGTATAACAAAGGAGTATTTTAGACTAACATAGAAATAATCTTCTAGATAGGATTACACTTAGAAGGCCCCTCTATAATCTAGTTCTAACTCTACACTAATAATTAGATAGACTTTAGAGCTAATAGCGTACTACTAAACTCTAAAACTAAGGAAGTGTTTAGTAGTGTAAAAAACTTTAAAGCAGCCTTATTAGCTATCTATAGAACCCTAGACAAAAAAAAGATTACAGCTAACAGACTAGACAACATAAAATAAGGCAGTAGACTAGTCTAAAACTATGCAGCACGCTTTAGAGAGCAAATAGCTATCTATAGATAAAATAACTAGAAAGCCCTATGCTGCATGTTTTACAATAGACTAAATAACAAAGTAAAGGATAAGTTTATATATATAAACTAACTAACTACTTTTAAAGACTATATTAAAAAGGCAATAACTTATAACAACTGCTATAGAGAACATAAAAGAGAAAAGAAATTAAAGGGAACCTTCTAGAAGCTAGAATTTATCTCTAAAAAAAAGAGCTTTTATAATATAATAAAAAGCTAATAGACCTTAGCTATGTAAAGCATATATAAAGCCCCCCTTTAAAGAAAAACTAAGTTCTAAGACATAATAGGCCGCCTCTAATAAAGAAATAATAAAAGTAGTTAAAAAATAAGGCTTGCCTAAACTATAGAAAAGTAGAACATTTCTGCTAAAATTACCTAGACTTCTAGAAGAGGGAGAATAAAAATACTACTATAATAATAAAAGCTATTACTACTAAATACAGCCTTATAGATAAGGAAATATAAGGAAAACTAGACAATAAACTTTACTAGTAATGCAAAGAAAACTATTCTTTAAATAACTATCCTAAACTATATTAAAAGGTAGTTATTTAAAACTTTAGTAGCTTTAATACAGTGTTGCAGGACCTTATAATTTTTAAAAGATATAAAAAAAAGACTTAGATCTAAGAATATATTATAAATGTTTAAAAAAAGAAAGAACAGTTCCCCTTTTAAGACTAGACCCCTAGCACCTTAGTAAGAGAGCTTTTCTAATAGTTTTAGAAATGTAAGTGCTAGAAGTGCAGGTTGTAATATAACTACCTAAGTAACTATATAGTCTTACTTTACTAGATAAACATTAGTAACAACTACTTAACATTTAACATTATATAAAGAATAGCTAAAGTTAAATATAATATTATAAATAAAAAAAAGTAATAGTAATTCTTTATTAAAATTAGAGATTAAAAGCTAGAATAGATAGGTAAACCTGCTAGGTTTAAAGTACTATAACTAGCGCCTAAAAAACCTAAGACACTGCTTCTAAGCCTAGCAATCTCCTAAAAAGCTCTTGTAATATAATAGAACTACAGACAATGTATTCTTTGCAGAAGCAGCACCTATAGCACTAACAGCTGCTAATAGAAAAATCACCCTGTACAGTTAATACAAACAAAGGAATACCCTTAGTAGACCTAAGAAAGTCCCCTTAACACATTATACAAACTAGATAAATGTCTGTACCCCTAGTACTAGTGTACATAATAATACTGTGTTAAACACTAGGACAATAAACATTAAGCAGAATAGTAGCCTATATAGGAAAGGAACTGTAACAGTTGCCTATAGCAAGGGATAGCCTTAGCCTGCAAAACTACAAATTATTACACTTGTTAGACAGCCCCTTCTTACAAGCAAGAACTATAAATAAAGTGTAACAAGCAAAAAAACTATAGGTTCTACTACTTTTAATAAAAAGTAGTAAGAAAAGAAGACTACTTAATGTTATATTACTTAGTTAAAGATTATAAATGTAAAGCAGCTAACTACTATAATTAAAAACATTAAATTTATAAAAAAAAAAAAAACAAGTTTAATAATAATTTATAAGATATTAATTTTTATTCTCTTTTAAATAAGAAAGTTAAACATAACATATTAGCAGTAATTACAGTAAGATAAGGGGCAGGACATAGCCTAATAACCACCTTTACGTACAAAGGATAGCCTAGGCTAGCCTTTGTAGACAGCAGATGCACCTTTACTGTAATAAATAAAGACTAGGTAGATAAATAAAGTATACTATTCTACATAAAAAAAAACTTATTTAAGGTAACCCTTGCTAACGCGTTATTAATTAAGTATAGTAGAAAATAGATTAACTTAGAAACATGTAAAAAAGACCTTAAGACCTCTAATATAAATAAATAGAGGTCTATAAACATACTTAAGCTAGAAGGCAAATACAACACTATTCTAAGC